GTTGTTACCGTCGCAAAAAGTGTGCGATCGCTAAAAACCTATTTATTGGTTACGGCAAGTGATGCCTTCACAAAAAATCATTTTTTGCGACGATAAGTGATGCCATCGCAAATGCTTCTGTGTTATAAAGCCCCTTTTTCTTGTAGTATTGGTTTGGTTTGGATTGGTTTGCTTTGGTTAGTCGACTTAGAAAATCTCCTAATTTTATATAAAGTCATGTAATGTTTATAATTTAATAAACTTGATATTTTAGAGAATTATAGAACTTTAAAAGCTTCTTTATAGATTGTGTGATGCAATGAAACCCTAGGTGTGATGCCTATGGAATCTAGATGTGATGTCTAAACCTATCTTCTTCTCTTCTTTCTTCGTCTTTTCTGTTTCAATTTACTATTTTCGGATTACTATTCACAACCCTCTAAAAGTGCATTTTTAAACCTCAAAACTCCCATAATCTTGAAAAAAGTTCGTTAGAGGGATAAATTGTATAATTGATTTAATTGTGAATTGATTAGTTACTAATATTTTTAATCTTTTCTATAATTGATTAGTTATTAAAGCTTTTAATTAAGTTTTTTACAGATTGGATTGGGGTGGCATTTTTGACTTGCAACAATGATCTAATTTGCTTGAATGTTCATTTCTGCTTGATAAGGATACACATACTTTGTAGTGTTGCACTAGTTGTTGTTGGATGTTTTATGGAATTGCACTGGTTATAATTGTTGAATATTTTGTGGATATTACATTATGTTATTATATTATGATGAAGTTATATGTAATAAATGAATATTTTCATTTTGTCAACTCGTAAATGTGCCGATTTTAAGCATCTTGAGTTAAATTGTGATGGAATTGTTATAGTAAACAGGTTTCAAAATGAACAAGATTATATTTGTTGAACTAAAATTTAGATTTTGATAAAATATGTATATAGTGTGGAAAAAAAATTACGGAATTAATGACAAAATTTTTCATCACTAAAGAAGGTTTTTTTGTCCCTTATTTGACTTAAGTGGATGACTAATTTTGTCGTGAATTCTTTATCAGGTCACTAAATAAATTTATCATGACAAAAAATATTATCATATTTTGTCACTATAACCTTCAATGTGTGACAAATTTTTTGACATTATTTCATCATTTTTAATGATGAGTTTATTTTTGTCTCTATTGGTAGCTTCTTTGACATTTTTTTTTTCTTTTTTTTTTTTTGTCTTTGTTTATATTAAACGCGACAAAATTATTGTTTCTATTTCTTATATTTGTGACAAAATAGTTGTCTCTATTTTCTTCCTTTAATGACAAAATATTTTGTCACTAATTATTTACAAGTATGCTCCTAGCAATGTGTATTACAAACAAAAAAAAAAAATGGCTACAAATTTATCATTTTCAATGACGAATTTATTTTTTCGTCTCCAAGACCTTTTAGCGATGACGTTTTGGCTACAAAATGGGTGATGAAATTTTTTCGTCGTAATTAGTTCAGATGACGAAATGTGTACATTGTGAGACAAATTTGATTCGTATTTAAATCCTAAATTATTGTAGTGTATAATTATGAATTTGGTAGACAAAATGTAAAGTATTTTGTTTTTGTTTAAATTTTATTAATTAAATTATGATATATGTATTTGTTATATAATACTTTGGACAAAACATTAATAGAAACAAAAATAAAAAATAAAAAAAATTAGGCCATGTTTGGGTTGTCATCTTTTTTAACTCCAAAAAGCTGAGTTCAAAAAGCTAAAATGTATTTGCCATGTACCTAAAAAAAAAAAATTGAAAATTTTGAACTGGCTAGAAATGACCAACAATCCTCGTGAGTACGCATATGGATTTACACATTTGGAAGGATAAAATAAAAAATTTAATCAACGAACAAAAGTATTATATAGTCAGCCCAGTTTTCCCATAAAATTAATAAACTCATGAACACTGAACTTTTTTTTTATTGGCTAAAAAATTCAAAAAGTCATTTAAAAAATAATTTCAAACCACCATTAAATTAAAAATAATTAAGACTTACTTAATCTTATTTATTGTTTGTTCTTTTTAAAATTATTTTATTATTAATAAAAAAACAATTTTATTAATCATTATTTAATCATGACACGGGTTATACACTAATATCATATATATATATATATATGTGTCTGCGCGCGCTCGCGCACACGTGTTGTTTTTAGGGTGAATAACACCATAATGGTGTCAGAAGAAAGATATTACATTGTTTAAAAAAATTCGAGAGGCTTAGGGGTTGGTTGTATGGTTGCGAGTAGCAGTAGTAGGGGTATTTTTATACTTCCGAATCTCTCTCGATGCATGTCATCTTCCTGTACCTTTAATTTCATATTGTTAATGAAATTTTTCTTTGCTGATCAAAAAAAAAAAGTATGATATACAAGAAACTTCTCAAAAAATAGTTTACCAAATAAGTCATTTGCGTTTTCAAAAAATGAAAATGAATTAAAAGCTAAACCACTACATGCCCACCACCATTTACAATTCTTTCGACTATGGATTAATGAAACATGCCCACCACCAACTGGTTTTGGATGAGTGAGATTTATTACAAAAAAATAAAAATAAAAATAAAAAAACAGAAAAATAAAAATAAAAAGGTATGCACGATAGCTGAAGACAAAGTCCTAAGGGGCAACAAGTAAAGCTCATAGGAAAACTTGACAACAATACAAAAATCAAAACCTAAACCACTACATGGGATTCCAACATACATTCATAACCTAGCTTAATAAATCTTATTGTAAGGAAACATTTACTTAAAACAACTTCAATTAGATAGTGGACTTTAAGCTTTCATAATTTTCTCAGCCTTAGTAAAGATCGAGAAATCATCTTCCTGATAATCTGGCTTATCGTCCATCAATTTCCAAGAGTTTGAGAAATAATCTTTGAGATGATCTGGCTCATGGTCCATCAACTTCCAAGAGCCATCTGTCTGTTGAACCATGCCCTTGTTCTTTTCAATTCGCCAGGAAGCTGGTATTAAATATTCATCTTTTAAAGCATCCAATGATTTGTTAACAAGTGCAATATCCCGATCAACTTCCAACTTGAATCCTCCTTTTGATCCTTGTGTACCTGCAACACCATGAAGGTAAGCCTCCAAGTTATGCCAACTTTGCAGATTTCCAGGATGCTTCAAGTACTCTGACTTGGTAGTGTTAATTGCCAATTTTTCACCCACGTTTTTGTAGCCTATGAATGGAACCTTTGGAACAATATCTAGGGCATTACGAATGCGTAGAATATGAAGATTCTTCAACCTAGATGAGACCTTTTTGAAGTCTAAATCCCCAACTCTTGGGCTTGCAAACACAAAGGCTGTCACAGGGCATGCCTTGTCTGGGTGGTTTCTAGGAATGTTAAATCCGTTGGCAGCTATATCAAATGCATTTAGGGTTGCAATTGCTGCACCCAAACTGTGACCAACTACAGTTATGCTAATTTCTTCATTTTGGTATTCCTCGACAAGTCTTTTGATCTCTGCAAGAACCTGAAATATAATATGACGAAACAACAATATTAGTTTTGGCGTTGTTCTCCAAATTAAGAAATTATTGTGGACAATCTTTTCCTAAACAACAATTTTAGGAAGTTCAGAAATGTTGCTTGTAAAAAAAAAGCATGTGCAATAAATTATTTTGAGTCTAATCATATTGTATATAGTTTAGATCTGGGCAAATTACATCGGCAATCCTACATTTTGCTCCTTATGTTATTTTGGTCCTCTGCCATTCGAATTAGTTCAATTTCGACTCTTAATTTTAAATTTTGTATTAATTTAGTCCAATTGAAAATGATAATTAAGATTTTTGAAGCAAAATGGTCACTAAATTAATTGAGATTAACTCATCGAGTTGAATAAGTTTACAATTTTACTTATAAAATTACGACACGCCTTTTATATGCATATTTTTCATTAAAAACACTAAAAATTGTGAACAATTAGACCAAATTTAGATAAAATCATAAATTTAGTATCAAAATTGAGTTAATTAAAATTATATAGGCCAAAATAACACATTGATAAAAAAATAGGGATTACTAGTACAATTTGACCTTTAAATTTATATATAATTCATTTTTTATCAACTATTTTAGGTTGGGTAGTTTTCCTTGCGTAAGAAGTATAAGCTTATATGTTTTTTGGTTCAGCAAATTTACCTGGTCCCTAGCACTGGTCTTGGCGACTGGTGATCTTGGATCTTTTGAAGTGTAGATAGAGTAAAATCCTTGATGCACCTTAGTATCATCATCTTGCTCTCCAATTATGTTTGAAGGTGAGACTAAAAGAATTTGCAAGTTGTTAGCCCATTCCAAGGGCTGAATTGTTCCTCTCCAGGCAATCACAATGTCTCTCCTCCCCAACTTAGCCATCCCTTCATCCGTGGCCACCGCAACATATCCCATCCAGTTTGATTCTTTGCTCCATGCCTCTCTTGATAGAGACTTTAAGATGAATGCATCGGGGACATGGGTTGATGATGTTGCGTACAAATATTTAGTCACGCGGTACATCGATGGATCTAGACCCAGCTTTGCAAAGAGGTCTGTCTTTGCATACCGGTTGCTTCCTGCATATTTGGACAACTTATTGGAGATGAAGTTGTCGTAAGTTGCTTGAGCCATTTCTCCATAGTGAATGATCTGCTGCCGTAGATCAATATCTAGAGGGTCCAATAGACCCTTCCAGTTATCTTCACCACTTAGAACCCTCCATCCTTTAGCAATGTTGCTATTGGTGTCCATATTGTTTTATTTTTTTTCTCTGTAAACAATATATATATCAGTTTGTTTGTATGAAAGTTATACGGAATGAGCTTGTGCTGCATGCTTTATATAGTGAGCTTGAGAGAGACCATGTTATGCTGTGTTTGGTTGCATTGACTGTTTGGTAAGTCCAATCTTAATGCATGACTGTTTGGTAAATATTCTCGTCAAAATGACCGTCTTTTAGTATCCAATAAGGCTGCTTGGATAATTCATCCATGCAAAAATAGGACTTAAAAATTTGGTCAAAAATGAGAAAATAACTTGTTTGGCTCATTCAAAATGAGTTTTTTGATGTCTCTGAATTACACGCGTGAATTTGCTTGTTGAAATTTTTGTGGAACAAATCCACATTTGATATATGCATATTCATTCTATCTATTGACATAATAATATGAAAATGTTATTCATATAGAAATATTTTATATTTTTTTTATGACTAGAAATAGAGGCATGGTTCCACACATATATTAATATTGAAATCTCTACCTTATGTTTAGTGATTAGAAAATTTGATCAAAATATATCTATATATATAGCATTACCTTAAATATATATGCTTAATATGCTTAGAAATATAATTTGTTGTTGAGATTCAATGTTCGTATGACAAAAACCCATGTTTTAAGTGAATTTTGACGATGCATTAAATATTTTGGTATTTTTTATTTATATATACAAATTATGTATAATTAGCATTGCCCATACTCTAAAATTATTATTAGTCCGTACGTTTTTTATGCATTTTTGTGTTCAATTTCCAACTATTTATGTGAATGTTAACTTGAAGGGTTTGGCCTGGTGAATAAGATTTAGGATCTGGAGGTTTGTTGTTTCTAAGATCTTAAGTTTGATTCCTCTCGTCAGCAAAAATTATTAGGGCCACGGATTGTAGGGCATAAATCTTATTTCGAAAGGTTTATTGGTGTTGTAGGGATTTAAGCACAAGCTGGCTTAATTACGTGAATGTTCGTGATTAATTCTTTATTTAAAAATACTTTAAACGAAATAGGTGAGGGGAAAAAATATCTCGCCACCTAACTAAGGGTTATTTTGAGAATTGACTATTTTAATTTTTTATTTATTTATTTTTATAACAAGATGTGCAAAAAAATAAAATAAATAATTGACTTTTTTATTGTAATTTTTTTTAAAGGTATTTTAACGTGTTGCCAAAACATGCTTAAATTTATAAAGGAAAAAAAAATATTTACTTTTGAGAGAAATATCCTTTCTCCACCTTTAGGCAAACAGTACCTAAAGAATTTCTTTTTTGGACTCAATTAAAAAATATTTATAAATGATAAATTTTATAAACATTAATAATTAAAATTATATATTTTTTAAAAATATATATAATTACTTTATGAAAGTACTACTGAGGGTTTCTTTTGAAAAATGACATTTTTAAGAAATTTTTGACATTTTAATTAAAATATAAGTATGCAAAAACAGATTTGTTTAGAAATAATTTCGAAAAATGTGTAAAAAGGAAAGTGAATACATTTCTTTTCTGAACCTTTCATTTGACTTTTTACCTTCTAGTTTTTCTAATAACTTTTATAACTAATTTAATTGAATAAATTATACCAATAATTTCTATATTTTGCTTATTATATCATTTAATCTCTACACTTTTAATTTATCTTAATTTGAGCTGTGATTTTAGAATTTGTATTAATTTGGTCCAATTAATAATCTAATATCGTTACTATTTTCGATGAAGAATTATCTCTCAATTAATTAAAATTAGCTCACTGAATTAAATAAATTTATTATTTTATTTTTAAAAATATAATAGATATCCGTCATGCACGTATCTTTTATTAAAAATAAATGTAAGAATAGTAATTAACTAGATTAAATTAAGATAAAATTATAATTTTAAACTTAAAATCGAACTAAAATTACAAGTACTAAAATAACATAAAAAGTCGTGATTTACCCAATTTATTGTGAAACCATCCGTGAATAGTATTTTTTCAAAATTTTTCTGATCGGACTAGAGAGTCTATGCGTTGAACTTTTCTCAAAGAAGAAAAAATCGAAAATATGGAAAGTACGAAGACTTGGCTCGCAAGGTTAAAAGTCTTTTGGACTCACCAAAAAAACAATATATATATCAGTTTGTTTGTATGAAAGTTATACGGAATGAGCTTGTGCTGCATGCTTTATATAGTGAGCTTGAGAGAGACCATGTTATGCTGTGTTTGGTTGCATTGACTGTTTGGTAAGTCCAATCTTAATGCATGACTGTTTGGTAAATATTCTCGTCAAAATGACCGTCTTTTAGTATCCAATAAGGCTGCTTGGATAATTCATCCATGCAAAAATAGGACTTAAAAATTTGGTCAAAAATGAGAAAATAACTTGTTTGGCTCATTCAAAATGAGTTTTTTGATGTCTCTGAATTACACGCGTGAATTTGCTTGTTGAAATTTTTGTGGAACAAATCCACATTTGATATATGCATATTCATTCTATCTATTGACATAATAATATGAAAATGTTATTCATATAGAAATATTTTATATTTTTTTTATGACTAGAAATAGAGGCATGGTTCCACACATATATTAATATTGAAATCTCTACCTTATGTTTAGTGATTAGAAAATTTAATCAAAATATATCTATATATATAGCATTACCTTAAATATATATGCTTAATATGCTTAAAAATATAATTTGTTGTTGAGATTCAATGTTTGTATGACAAAAACCCATATTTTAAGTGAATTTTGACGATGCATTAAATATTTTGGTATTT